TTCTCATCAAAGTAATACGGAGGGAATGAGGGTGGTTTGCTGCTATGGAAGATAATGGTTAACCATAGCCTTGAACAGATTAAGATTCTAGTGATCAGGAAGCATCCACTTGGGAGTCGTTTCCACAGAGCAGTTGTTCCTGGGAAGTTGAACTTACTTCTCATCAAAAAAGTAATACGGAGGGAATGAGGGTGGTTTGCTACTATGGAAGATAATGGTTAACCTTAGCCTTGAACAGATTAAGATTCTAGTGATCAGGAAGCATCCACTTGGGAGTCGTTTCCACAGAGCAGTTGTTACCGGGAAGTGGAACTTATTCTCATCAAAAGTAATACGGAGGGAATGAGGGTGGTTTGCTGCTATGGAAGATAATGGTTAACCATAGCCTTGAACAGATTAAGATTCTAGTGATCAGGGAAGCATCCACTTGGGAGTCGTTTCCACAGAGCAGTTGTTACCGGGAAGTGGAACTTACTTCTCATCAAAGTAATACGGAGGGAATGAGGGTGGTTTGCTACTATGGAAGATAATGGTTAACCTTAGCCTTGAACAGATTAAGATTCTAGTGATCAGGAAGCATCCACTTGGGAGTCGTTTCCACAGAGCAGTTGTTCCGGGAAGTTGAACTTACTTCTCATCAAAGTAATACGGAGGGAATGAGGGTGGTTTGCTGCTATGGAAGATAATGGTTAACCGTAGCCTTGAACAGATTAAGATTCTAGAGATCAGGGAAGCATCCACTTGGGAGTCGGTTCCACAGAGCAGTTGTTCCTGGGAAGTTGAACTTACTTCTCATCAAAGTAATACGGAGGGAATGAGGGTGGTTTGCTAATATAGAAGATAACGCTTAACCATAGCCTTGAACAGATTCGGATTCTAGTGATCAGGGAAGCATCCAGTTGTTGGGAAGTGGAACGGTTCCATCAAAAGATCAGAATTGTTCTGCTGGAAGATAATGGAAGTTGAACTTACTTCTCATCAAAGTAATACGGAGGGAATGAGGTGGTTTGAACTACTTCTCATCAAAATATACGGAGGAAGATAATGGTTAACCTTAGCCTTGAACAGATTAAGATTCTAGTGATCAGGGAAGCATCCACTTGGGAGTCGTTTCCACAGAGCAGTTGTTACCGGGAAGTTGAACTTACTTCTCATCAAATAATACGGAGGGGAATGAGGGTGGTTTGCTGCTATGGAAGATAATGGTTAACCATAGCCTTGAACAGATTAAGATTCTAGTGATCAGGGAAGCATCCACTTGGGAGTCGTTTCCACAGAGCAGTTGTTACCGGGAAGTGGAACTTACTTCTCATCAAAGTAATACGGAGGGAATGAGGGTGGTTTGCTACTATGGAAGATAATGGTTAACCTTAGCCTTGAACAGATTAAGATTCTAGTGATCAGGGAAGCATCCACTTGGGAGTCGTTTCCACAGAGCAGTTGTTACCGGGAAGTTGAACTTACTTCTCATCAAAGTAATACGGAGGGAATGAGGGTGGTTTGCTGCTATGGAAGATAATGGTTAACCGTAGCCTTGAACAGATTAAGATTCTAGTGATCAGGGAAGCATCCACTTGGGAGCCGGTTCCACAGAGCAATTGTTCCTGGGAAGTTGAACTTACTTCTCATCAAAGTAATACCGAGGGAATGAGGGTGGTTTGCTAATATAGAAGATAACGGTTAACCATAGCCTTGAACAGATTAGGATTCTAGTGATCAGGGAAGCATCCACTTGGGAGTCGGTTCCACAGATCAGTTGTTCCCGGGAAGTTGAACTTACTTCTCATCAAAGTAATACGGAGGGAATGAGGGTGGTTTGCTACTATGGAAGATAATGGTTAACCATAGCCTTGAACAGATTAAGATTCTAGTGATCAGGGAAGCATCCACTTGGGAGTCGTTTCCACAGAGCAGTTGTTACCGGGAAGTGGAACTTACTTCTCATCAAAATAATACAGAGGAATGAGGTGGTTTGCTACTATGGAAGATAATGGTTAACCTTAGCCTTGAACAGATTAAGATTCTAGTGATCAGGGAAGCATCCACTTGGGAGTCGTTTCCACAGAGCAGTTGTTACCGGGAAGTGGAACTTACTTCTCATCAAAATAATACAGAGGGAATGAGGGTGGTTTGCTAATATAGAAGATAACGGTTAACCTTCACCTTGAACAGATTAAGATTCTAGTGATCAGGGAAGCATCCACTTGGGAGTCGGTTCCACAGAGCAGTTGTTCCCGGGAAGTTGAACTTACTTCTCATCAAAATAATACAGAGGGAATGAGGGTGGTTTGCTAATATAGAAGATAACGGTTAGCCTTAGCCTTGAACAGATTAAGATTCTAGTGATCAGGGAAGCATCCACTTGGGAGTCGGTTACACAGAGCAGTTGTTCCTGGGAAGTTGAACTTACTTCTCATCAAAATAATACGGAGGGAATGAGGGTGGTTTGCTAATATAGAAGATAACGTTTAGCCTTAGCCTTGAACAGATTAAGATTCTAGTGATCAGGGAAGCATCCACTTGGGAGTCGGTTCCTCTGAGCAGTGGTTCGCAGGAAGAATCTGGTTGAGTAGAACTTGCTTCTCACCAAAGGAATACGGAGGTAATGACGGTGGTTTGCTACTATGGAAGATAACGATTAACCTTATCCTTGAACAGATTAAGATTGTAAGATTTAAGACGACTACTAAGAAACAGAATAAAATTGTTAAAAACAAAGAGTGCTGAACTGTTATGTAATATCAATCGTCCTAGATGACAGTGAATACTGAACAACTGCGTGAAAACCTCCAGTGAAAATAATATGAACTAATTTTAATGTGAAAATGCTTACTCTTTGATGCTTTGCACAAAGAGGTCTTAATAAGGGGGGGGGGTCGGATTTTTTTTCAGTTTGCAATAAACGGGGTGTCTTAAAAGTGGTTCGGAAAAAAACATTTGAAGAAGAGACTCAAAGCAACAGAAATGTCCTTCTACAGAAGGATGTTGAGGATACTATGGACAAAACATGTGAGCAACGACGAAGCTTTAAAAAAAATGGAAATAAAAAGGAAACATATACTTAACATCAGGAAGAGACAGTTGAGATTTCTGGGGCATATGAAGAGAAAGGAGGGCTTGGAAAATCTGATACTCACAGGACAGATTGAAAGCAAGTGGAACAGAAGAAAACAACGCATAACATAGTGAGTTTGACTAAACGGATAGTGGAACAAGGCTTAAGAGAAATAACAAAAAGGCAAAACTTATTAAGAGCTACGAAGAACGGGAAATTGTCGAGGGCCATGATCGCCAACGTCCTGAAGGGACAAAACGCACAAAAAAGAAAGAAGATTGTTCACACAATCACACCAAAGCCACTCAGTGAAGATGATTACTGAATGAAGTTTACTGTTGTACGAACGTAAGAAGAGGCGGCAAGGAGTCCAGATTATGAGGATATGTAGCATAGAAAACGGTTGATCGTAGACCTGACTGTAGCGATCGAGGAAGCATCCCCTCGGGAGTCTGTTCCAGAAATTAACAGTTCTTGGGAAGAAGCTACTTTGCTTTACTAAAAATCACTAGCGAGAATATTACTAAGTTAGTAACTATATTACTAAGGTTATTTTTTGTTTTGTTTTTTGGTTTGTTTTTTTTTTCTCATTAATTATTAAATCCAATTCTTTATTTACACTATTTACATTGTTCGGACTGTTTTAATATCACATTCACAATGTTTCGGTCGTTGTACGCTCCGGCTTTCTTCAGGTCATATTTTGGGGAATATCGAACCGAACCAATCTGACCGCGGACCGGAAGCTAAAAGCGTTGGTTGATTGGTCCAAAAAGTGATTTAAGCTAGAGAGTTTTGAGAGAAACTTGGAGAGTTATCAAGGCGGATTAAGTAAAACTGAGATTTCCAAAGGCATGGCATGTGGAATTAGAACAATCCACTCCTCGATCACTAGAATCTTAATCTGTTCAAGGCTAAGGTTAACCGTCATCTTCCATATTAGCAAATCACCCTCATTCCCTCCGTATTACTTTGGTAAGAAGTAAGTTCCACTTCCCGGGAACAATTGCTCTGTGGAACCGACTCCCAAACATTTTTTTCGAAGAAGGCCAGATTTGATGAAGTGAATATGCGTGAGGGCCAACCATTTTGCTTGGCATTCTTTGAACCGTTAAAATTAAATGCAAATAAACAATCTTATGAATATTTTATTGAACATGGCATATTTTCATTTCTTCGCGTGGATGACAAATAAATTTAAACAGGTTTTACCAAAATCACTCAGCCTATCATATCTGAAGCCCATTTAAGAGGAAGTAAAATATGTCTGAGTAAAAAGAATTTCCAGGAAGCTGTAATATATCTCAGGTTAATCTTAGACATTACATATTATTGGTAATTAATGTTGTGTCAACTTTTAAGTTAAAAATATATGAATGGCGGCATATCTCCAACATTCATCGTATTAAGAAATACAAAACATAAAATGGCAAAAGTCAAAATGGTCAAAATGATTTTGACCAACACAAAACAAATTTAATTCACTAAGATTTTCGAATTTATTCATCTGAGTTGACCAAAAACAAATAACTTGCCTTCACTAATGCGAAGGGTGATACTGAGATCTGGACTGCAGTATGAAGACCAGGTCTGTTTTAAAGGCAATGATTTTAGAAATTGTCTGGAGAAGACTAAAGTCAGGGTCACACCACCAGGGGGCGACCACATAGTGCTGCTGCCATCTTTTAGTAAAACATGAAATTGCATTTCTTAGGTGTGTACTTTACATACTCTGATTGACAATACGGGCGAGTGATACATTCTATGACAGATGTGGGTCATATGAAATTTGATCGCGAGCTGTAATTGCTCCTCGGGCCGGACTTTGGACATGCCTGGTTTAAATAGTTACTATGCCTCATCTCAGAAGTATAGACAAATCTTTTTTTGTTTTATTCTTTTTTTTTTTCCTTGTTTTTTTATTCGTCGTAAATTTATATTCCAGGTTATTACAACTCATCTGACGGAGCTGTCCGACTCGAAGACGGAAACTACCGAATCATAGGCAGGATCGATGACGTCATTAACGTCAGCGGACACCGTCTGGGTACAGCTGAAATCGAAGATGCGATGGCAAGTATTTTATTCTCCGTCAAACATAAGAAATGTTGAATTATTTGATTGAATCAGAAATAATTTCCGTTTTTTTTTGTTTTTTTTTTTTTTTGGTGGGGGACCAGTTGCAATGATAAATGTATCATCCTAACGCATTATTATTTAAGTATATCATAATAAACGATGAAAAGTGTGTTGCATACAACAATGTTCAAAGCAAAAAGGCAGTGTATTGACTAAATAAATTAAATAGTAACCCCCCCCAAACTGGGGTTACGTTTTTAAATACACCAAATTAGTGGAAATTAATTGATGAACTTTAGTATCTTTTAAAGCCAAGCTGGGTTTGACAATAAAATAAATCCAGCAGCAAGGCTTCTGATCAGGATGTTTTCAGGATCAAGGACCCACTTCTTAATTGTTATTACTCCCAGGGCCACCCGAACCCCCAGCATGGTAGCACCTGTTAGGCTCCCAACTATGATCGTATAGTTAACCCCAAATTGGTGGTTACAATAAATCTCCTGTGGAGATCCCGCTTTTGATGTTGATTGGTTGATTGGTGTCAATGTTAATGACCCGTTTGTATGATTTAAGTTTAGTGTAGTTTTCCAGTTTTTGGTGCTCTTCATTATTTAATTGACCCGTATGGGCCAGACTCTGTACATTTTTAGGCTTTTCTTTATCCATGAGTGTGGAACACTGTCGAACATCTTTCTGTAGTCAATCCACGCTGCCAATAAATTTCTTTGTTTTCATCACTTCCACTATTGTTTTATTGATAATTATGGGGTCACATTTTCAAAGACACCAAATTAGTGGAAATTAATTGAACTTTAGTATCTTTTAAAGCCAAGCTGGGTTTGACAATAAACTACATCCAGCAGCAAGGCTTCTGATCGGGAGTTTTTGAGGATCGAGGATCCACTTCTTAATTGTTATTGCTCCCAGGACCACCCTAACCCCCAGCATGGTAGCACCTGTTAGGCTCCCAGCTATGATCATATAGTTAACCCCAAATTGGTGGTGACAATAAATCGCCTGTGGAGATCCCGCTTTTGATGTTGATTGGTTGATTGGTGTCAATGTTAATGACCCGTTTGTATGGTTCAGATTTAGTCTTCCAGTTTTTCATGCTCTCCGTCATGAATTTGACCGTTGTGGAGACATACTCTATATATTTTTAGGCTCCTCTTTATCCATGAGTGTGGGACAGTCGAACGCCTTTCAGTAGCCGATCCATGCTGTCGATAAGTTATTATTATTATTATTATTATTTGTAGTTATTGTTGTTATTGCAGCAGAGCCGGGCTACAGTTGAAATATATGCAGTTGTGTAAGCATTAGGGTGAAGTGGTTGATAAGTTCCAAAGAAACCGAATTCAATATTTTGAAAAGGAGTAAATTTCAACATGTTCATAAAAGAAATTATTTTAGGGGAAGGTACCTCGACGTGGTGTAATTGGTAGCAAGTTTGCCTCCCTAGAACAATTACGACTGAATAGTGAGTTCGATCCACTGGGTACTTCATATTTTCTTCCTTTATGCCATACCTAAACTACACTTAGAAAACCATCGTAATCGAATGGATTCAACACATGCAGGGATTATATATATAGAGAGAGAGAGGGAGAGAGAGAATAATATAGACCACAAGAAGAGAAAAAATAATTTTATGCTTTTATCTACATATATAGGTAAAAATAAATAAAAAACAACGTAAATGTTTTCTGTCACCCCACCCTACGTTTTTTAAGGGCAGTGTAAAGAAAACTTTCACATGTTTATTCGGTGTGTGTGTGTGTGTGTGTTATGTATTTTAGCATCAAGTATGTGGTGCAGTTCAATTTACATTACATGAATCATTCATACAAAAAAACAGATATAGAAGTTAATGATTTAAATGGCGAGAATACATCTTCGCAAACAATTTTAATAAAGTACATTAACCCCGAACCATACAATTAACAATAACACATACTTAATACTTCTCGAATTCACTCTCGCGTGGTCATGTGTGACGTCATGAGCTGCGGTGCGATTTTCGCTTCTAGCGTCTTATATGCACGTGTTTATCGTCGCTTGGAAATCATCCATGTAAACATTAACAGAATATCATCACTGTCTTGTCCGTATATTGCTTAATATGTTGTACAGTAATTGACATCTTTGATAATGGCTTATGTAAGCCGAAAGCTTAGATTGGATTAAAAAATATGGATCAAAATTGTGATTTTCTTTCTTCGTTTAATGATAATGTTATTAAGCTTATCAGACGTCATGAAAATAATTTACATAAAATAAATAGACAACACTTGTCTATATTATTTAATGAAACATATATATATATATATATATATATATATATATATATACTATTTACATTAATCGGACTATTGTCCTCATCTTTGTCGCTATATTTACAACAACGGTTCCGCTGTTGTACGCTTTGGCCTTCTTCAGGTGGCTGGAATGTTGAACTGAACCCTTTATTTCGCTCACTGGGATAGACTGTTCTAGTTCTACGTACCATCTTTTTATGGATGTCAGTTATCAGTTATCTCCTGTTAATTCCCCTCTCCAAGTTCTTCACTGCCTAAACCGAGTATTGAACTCACACTCTTTGGGCCCTATCACTGGATCTAACAAACACCTTTATCCACTGCGCCATGTGTCCTTCAGGGCATATGGTACAGTAGATAAAGGTGTTAGTTAAATATGGCGACAAAGATTAGCATAATAGTCTGCATAATGTAAATAGTGTACATAATACCTCATCTCAGAAACCTATATATATATATGATTAGAAAAAAGGGTCCACGTGTTCTTCTTAAAATAGATAGGCTAGTTAATAAAACAAGTTTATTTTCATAAAAAGTTTCACTTATGGAAGAATCAGAAATCGAGTTTTTTCTAATAATACGATTTCCACCAGAAAAATACCCCATCTACAAAAACATCTGTCGGTGAGTAATTCCCATTTCTCTGTTTATTTCTCGGTCCGTTGATAAAGGGCACAGGCGTGTCCGAAAATTCCGAACATAAAGCCTTTCTCTTCGTGCTTTATTTCTGTCATATGGTTAATAACTAATATTTCAATATGTTTATGATACTGCTTATATTGGTACGCTTTCGTTTTTCCTTGTTTTATTAACTAACCTATCTATTTTGCACACACACACATGCACATATATATATATATATATATATATATATATATATATATATATATATATATATATTTGAAAATATATTTATCCGAAATTTTTATTACTATAAACTTTATTTTTAGTACTTACACGTGTACAGAAAATTCCTGATGGCAAAAGGGGATATGTGTTCGATTCCTGTCGGAGGTACAAATCTTCTGTAGTAGGACGTCTCAGTATAGGCCAGTTGTAATTAATTTCACTGTTCCATTACATAAAATAAAAACTAGTGAGCAACGACGAAGTTTAGGAGAAAATGGAAACAAAAAGGAAACTTATATTTAACATCAGGGAGAGACAGTTAAAATGTCTAAGGCACGTAATGAGGAAAGAGGGCTTGGAAAATCTGATACTCACAGGGCAGCTTGAAGGTAAGAGGGACGTAGGAAAACAACGCATAACCTACTTAGTGAGCTTGAGTAAATGGATGCCAGAACAAGTTTTAGGAGAAATAACAAAAAGACAAAATTTATTAAGAGCTTCAAAGGACCGGAAATTGTGGAGAGCCATGATTGCCTATGTCCTGAAGGGCCACAGCACATTGAAGAAGAAAAAGAGGATGATAAAATATCGGACTGCAGCTCTTAATTTAATTTTAATATCAAAATATTTCGATGTTTCTGATAATGATTTAAAGCTTTTTTTTTTTTGTAATTTTTTTCAAAATAAGAGTAAACCTTTTTTTTTTTTTTGTTATTTAAATAATTTGTCGGCGAATGAAGACATCAGCCTGTTTTCAGAACATACAGATTATTATTTTTTAAAACAGCGGCAAACTGCTAGTTAAATATTAAGAAGTTCCAATCCTCTAAATATGGGAAGCTCGGCCTGTCTTGAAAATCAGTATTCAAAATCTTGGTTTGAAGCTGGATTCGAACACTGACTCCAAACACGCCACTACATCGGTCCCACTTTCGGGATTCGTGGTTATAGTTCTTCGCACTGATTAGACAAATCGTTGATGAAAGTATCTCGTCATTTTTTGCAGGGGGACCACCCAGATGTAGCAGAGTCTGCCGTCGTTGGCTACCCACATGACATCAAAGGAGAAGGTATGTGATTCTTACGATTATTTTCTTTCTACTTTCTTTCTCCTTGAGTAGACGCCTCACATGTCACTTAACAGAGCTAAGATCTGTAAAAAAAAAAAACTCTATCAGCCCATAATTTACAAGAACCCTTAAGAAAACAGTAGTGTCCTTTGTAACTCAAATTCCGAAGACATCTCGTTATAAGAGAGGCCCTGTATATCAAACATCTCTCCCTCACCTTCAACTTTACCTTGTTTAACAATGGTAACGTAGTGCAGAAAGTTTTTTTTTTTAAATTAAAAGTCACCCACTCGAATTTCAACTATGCCCAACACACGACGGCTCAGAATTAACTCTCCTACTATAATTCACAAGTAATACATCTTACACGGTGACAAGAAAATAAACCAACAACACCCAAAACAACGACCCTTGAAAATGGCTAAAGAAGTATCTGAAAGCGCTTGGGACAATGTAGAATATAGACAGTTTTTAAGTACTTGCTCATTTTCACCAAACGGAAAAAAATGTAAGAATGCTGGAAAAATTAAATATAATTTTCCTTATCCGTCATATTCAACGAAATAAGAAGAATGGTTGATGTCCAAATATACATTAATATATATATATATATATATATATATATAGAT